TCTCCCTCTCCCTCTCTCTCTCCCTCTCTCTCTCATTTCCTGGGGGGAAAAAGGACAAAAACCAAGTTTCCTGTCTTACAATTGCTTTTACATGACTTTGTGGTGGTTCAAAAACGTTCTGCTCTCTTAGATCATCACCTAAGCTCTTAAAGGAAAGAACAAATTTGTGTACTTTAAAATCATGTTCTGTTTTCTCCACTTACGTTTGAGGAACAAGTGGTATGAAACAGTATGTCCCTCTTGGAGGGCACGTCCTCAGATGGAGAAGAGCACTGGTAGGTGTTCATACAGGTGCTTCATGCAAATGATGACTGACCTTCACAACATGCAGCTTGTGAGGCAGCGCGTCCATTATACTTGGCTAATATAATAGAAAAAGCTGGAGATAAACAATTAGATTAGGAATCTCATATGAGCAGTCATTTGACATTGCTTGTTTGTAACTAGCTTGCCGGTTCCATCTGCTTTCTTTCTAAGGCCAACTGCAAGCAAATGCTTATTGTGAAAATCCAGATATAGTATTAATTGGCAACAAGGCAGACTTACCAGACCAAAGGGAAGTCAATGAGCGGCAAGCCCGGGAACTGGCTGACAAATACAGGTAAGTCAGTCACCTGGCAGTGTCATCCAACCTTGCACACTGCTGCTAAGTAATGGGGCACAAGGTTAATACTAGGAATTACAAAGATCTTCCAGAGGAATGTATGTGATATTTTAAATCAATTACTCATTAATCATAGCAGCTAACATTTACTGCATACTTATTAGGTACTAGCAACTGTTCCTAGATTTTAATTGATTTAACCCCTCATAACCATATGGAGCAGGCCTAGAGTTATCCCACTTTATATATGAAAATTAGGCATAGAGAGGTTAATAACTGAGGGGCGGCCACATCGCTAAGCTGGTAAGCAGCAGAGCTGACTTGAACCCAGACAGTCTGAGATCAGAACTCATGTTCTTCAACACGACCCTCTACTAGTGCCTCTCGATTGATAGCTGCAAACCTCTAAAGGTGATACCTGTGTGGACATAATATTGCAGCCTTTATTCTCAATGAACTTAAATGGCAAATGAAAAATTTTAAGACACCCCATGCAGTTATAACTTGACTTCCAAATCAGACGTTGTCATGATTTTTTTTTAATTTAAAGCAGTTTCATCACACCTGCCATTCTTTTTGGATTGTCCTTGAGAACATTAAAACTGTACAGGTGTTCTTGAAACTTTTGATTCCGAGTAAGTGGAGACTGTAGTCACAGGAATATCCTACTCAGTGGCAGTGTAATTTCTAAATCAGATTTATAGATAATTGATTAGAAGGGAAGTAACATTGATCACTAGTTTACCATTTTTTACCCTCTTAAATTTTAAAGAATAGTTATAGTGCCTTAACTTCAAGTTCCTGAGTACCTCCTGTATCCGCTTTCTTGCCCATAGTACTGGTTATATTCACACTAATGAGCAGCTCACCAGTTGTTACTCCCTGAGTAAGAACAGGGATGCTTTCCAACTCAGCCAGCAAAACCCTGAATATTGTGCAATCTCTGTCAGCCATATTTTCATATGTGTGACTCATTTGTACATCTTGTTGCCTCGTTTCTGATTTCTTCCTCTCGAAAATATTTCTCATCTCTTCCATGCTAGCATACCATATTTTGAAACAAGTGCGGCGACTGGCCAAGATGTGGAGAAAGCTGTGGAAACTCTTCTGGACTTAATAATGAAGCGAATGGAACAGTGTGTAGAGAAGACACAAGTCCCCGACTCTGTCAATGGTGGAAACTCTGGGAAGCTCGATGGGGAGAAACCAGCAGAGAAGAAATGCACCTGCTAGACCTCACACAGGAACTCATCATCCAGATCCCACCCAAATATTACTTCCCCAAACAGCGACAGACCACACAACTGTTGGGTAGACCATGCATAATGGCACATCTTTTTTTTTCTTCCAGAAAATGTATTTTAAGAAACCAAAATAGTCAGCAGTATTCAAAAGAATTGACCAGTTGTTTCTGAGGCCCCTTCAAACAAGATCAAAGATTTCTAACGTGATCTCACCATCATGGATGCCCAGTTTTTTTGTTTTTGTTTTTGTTTTTGTTTTTTTATAAAGAAGACAAGTGTGTAAGGGAGCACACAGATGAAATGACAGTGAGTTGTAAATGAGAACAAAAATTACCCTGTCATAGTGGAGAAAGAGATGGACTACCAAAGGGAGAACATAGAAAGTTGATTTTTTAAAAAAGATTGGGTTTACTTCACATGTAGAATCTGATTATTACTTTTAGGTTTGCATTGGGGAAACATAGTTAAAAATGGATACACAATAAAGAATTCTAAATGGATCATTAACAATGACATTACTCTGTACACCCAATACGCTGTATTAGAATGACTTAATTAGTGGTGAGGTTATGAGAGGATGAATGTCAGACTTCTGCTAAAATGTAGGAGTGTGTGTAATAATGCCATTTTTATATTATTAATAAATGGCAGATAGACAAGAACAAGATTGTGGATGACAATGTACAAGAGAAATGCCCTGGGATAAAAATGAAACTATGGGAACATGGCATTAGACAAATGAAATTAAATGTATCTGTTACAGATGTCTGGAAGAGTCACTTAGCCAACTTTCACTCAAGCCAATGAGAAGTTGACATTATCAGCTGGGATTAAGAGATGATCCAGAGGTTTCCATTTCAAACAAAATTTTAGAAATAGGTTCAGTGTTTGGCTTCACATTTCATTTTTCTTAGCAAATGGTGATAAATAGTCACAAGCACAAATTAAAGATTGCTGTTTATTTAAAAAAATCTCTCTTTAAAAATGCAGTCAACAAAAACGATTTCACCTTAATTTCTTTTAGATAAATATGCTGGTGATGTGAAACAGAAAGTGACTATTTATTGTGGTTTTCTTTTCAATTTACAAAATCCCAGAAACTCTAAATCGATTTTTCCCCTCTCTAACCCATACTCTGGCTTTGAATCAATTGTGAAAATACAGGTGTGTCACTTTGTAGACCAACAATTTCAGAATAATCATGGATCCATTTTATGGTCACTCTGAATTTCCATGTCACTAATCACATAAGAATTGATGATAACTCATGCCATGTTACAATGTATTTAGCACTTGTTTTTATTTTGCTTAAGGCAAAATGCCCATAGTTGACCTATATTTGGGGGTTGGGCAGGAATGGAACTGTATCATATCTCACCAAAAATTGGTTAATAACTTTATTTTTTTTTCACAAGAAGCTGCCTTTTCTTTCTAAAGACGATCTCAAAAGTATTTTTCATTTGCCTATTCTTATAATTATCACTTCCTATTAAACCATTGTTTAAATATTTCAGTGAAGGCATTACTCTTTACGTTTTCTTCTTTTACTATGAGTATATGATTTTTCTTCAGAATGGTTCCTCTTACTATAAAATCTTGCCAATTAAACTTCATTTTTCCAATTCGGTGCATACTTACTTTGTTAAGTTTCAGACACTGGAAACCCTAAACCCAGCTCCCCCCACCCCTTAACCTCTGCCTACCAACAACTATCTGGTATCAAATTCGTTTTAGGAACTCAGATCCGAGGGAATGTCTACGTATAGTGTTCTTAGTGTGGACTAGACCCAGAAATGTGCCCTGAATCAAAGTGATCTGGAAACTTTGATGGGCTAGCGCCTGGTGGAGTTCTGGGTGTCTGCTGCCCAGTTCCTCTAACTTCTGCAGCACAAAGCCAGCTTCTGAGACAGATCACACTCGGGTATTCCCGCCAATGGTATTTTTCTCCGTGATGTTCTTCATGACCTCAGTACCTGTGCCCTGAGGATAGAAAGCTATTGGCTAACATGGAAGATGCTTCTTTTGGAAGAAAGTGAGCAGAAACAATGTAGCTATTGTTTTAGCAGAATTTGGTGAACTTTTGAGGTCATTATGTCAATGTCTTATTTGGATCCAAATTGTGATATCCCCTGCATTTCCATAATAGGGAATGTTTAGCCTTTATAAAAATTCTGAAAGTATTCTATTTTGGATATGTCTTTTTGTTTCTTTTGATTTTCCAGTTACATGATTGACTTACTTATGCCAAATTTCTGTCATTGTCAGCTATTTAACAAGCATTTATTCAGGGTCTATTTTAAGATTGTCATTTGATAGTTGCAGCGTGAAGCAGAGGGTGATGATGCCCATAATTATAGAACTACGCCTGTAAAAATAACAATTATTGGGTAATAATCTCAAGTACGACAAAACTTAAGACAAGAAAATTACTTTGTAGTGGTATTCTACTTATAAAAACTTGATCTAAGAAATATTTTCTGTCAAGTTTGACATCTGACCCCAAATTCTATGTCAACGTTAATAGAAATTCCTTCTCTTATTATTTCCCAATTAATTAGTCTGTATTATTTATTTTACAACCTCAAATTAATTTGGGGCCCTGAAGTAGTGTATAGACCACTTTAAAGGATTGCATAGCCCCTTTAACTCACAACAATATATATGTTTAGCCAAGATGAGCCCTGTAACTAATTATCTCCCAAATGCTCTAGTAAGCCAAATTGTATTTTGGAAAAATCTTTGAAGTGTACATGACATTCCTTTCTGGTATAGAAACCACTTCTGAAGTGTTCGCTCTGTTTCAATGTTTACATCGCTCTAACACAGTGCCTCGGATACTTCTGTGACCACATTTGTCTCCAACCTATAGCTCACTTCCTATAATGTCATTATAGGAAGGCCTCACAGAGACATGAACACAGCTTAAGGTCTTTGATGTCTTTGGCAAAGGGTTCAAGGACGTCATCGGGATCGGAGACCATTACCACCGTCTCCTGGTCTCCTAGCTCACTTCTCATGGAGTGAGCATTACTTGAGACTCTTAACTGAATAGGTACAAGGTTACCTTTCTGTGTAAAAAGAGAAAACTCCTTTTAGAAATGTACCAAAAATAGTTGAGAGAACACAATATTTGTCTTGGTATGACGGGGGTGGCAGGTCAGGAATCGGCGGAGAAAATATTAAGTGCTGGGAGTTGAGCTTGCAGGTCTCTACATAAGAGTTTTAAAATTCTTTCCAAGTCACACTCTAGCCAGTTTGCCACCATTTCCATAGTATCAGCTATCACACTGCACACAATTCAACGCCAGCATTTTCTAAAGTAAACCTTTTACCTGTTGTTTTTAACCAGATGAGTCATTTTTTTGTATCAGGGGGTGTCTTTCTTATGCTTCTAGTGTCAGTTACCCTCTGCCAATCAGGTTGGATGAACTGGGCAAGAGTTTTAATCAGCCCTTGTAAGAGACAGAAGCTTGAGCCTAGAGAAGGACATGACTATATTAAAAAGTAATAATAGCCAAATATTTTTAAACTGTAAATTGAGTCAACAAATTTGATGAAACGTATATATTTTCGCCAATAGAGTGAGCACAGCAGGTAGAGAACTATGTAAATATGTGTGATAGAGTGTACAACTAGGTAGAGTGTATAACCTGGAGACTTGTGTCTATGAAACAAGATTGTTTGCTGCCCATATCTCTGTTCACCTGAATAAAAAGGAGGGGGGGGGGGCACATGCTTTCCTCATTGTGTATCACACTCACCCATTTGAAGGAAAATCCTCATCCATAAAGAATTTAGGAGTTTAAAACTCAAACTTTAAAGAAATGATATTGAAATTTCTGTCTCCTAAGATAGTGAATAATTCTTTAAAAGGATGTTCTGAGAGCTGATGTTAACCAAAGTGATTTTAAAAGTTTACTTTCATCCTCTACTACCTAGCTTTAAGAGATGTCTAGAATGTTTAAGTATTTTAGGGAAAGCTTTATCATTTTTTAAGGATGCTAAGATGCTGTCTATATTTGAAAACATTGTCTAAAAGTTCACCAAAAGCTATGGTTTTTTTTTCTTGATGATTTTTTGAGCAATATGATATAAACTTATTTCTGGGGAGAGTGCTGAGCTCTTACCAGGGACAGTCGATATAGAATATTATCTGAGATGAGTGTTGTCTCAATGCTTTATAAATCCATGAAACTACTTGTCTCACAAAGTAGGATTGATAAAAATTATTGCTAGATATATAGGGAATGTTATAAACTTATTTTCTTAGAACGCTTGGGTGAAGACCCACTCATGATGACATTGTTGAGCAAGCACTATAGAGAGAGATAAGAATTAAAAAGTTGTCTACGTAGAGTCCTTAGATCTGGCAGAACATGGAGAAGTTCATACTTAAAAGGTTGATTTTTAGGTAGGAAAAAAAAGAGTACAGAAAGAGTTTTTGTAAGTAGATATGTGGGAAATATTTATTCATCCTTTTTATCTAACAAGTAGAGGAGTCTATCCTTAGAACTAAGCTAATAAAACTATTTAAGCTAAAAAATATTTCATTATTAACATCAAACTTTTGGAAACTTGGGAACATTTTATTTATCTGAACCTCATAAACTGGAGTAGCATCACATATATGATGATAGGCAATCTCCCCCCACCTGTGGTGCGGGGCGTGGGGGCGCGTGCGGAGAGGGGCAGAGGGAGATTTTCTATCATCATCTATAGAGAGGAGAGAAAACAGTGACAAACTAGTGGGATTCTTTTAAAGGGTGTCATCTTTTAAAGAAAAAAAATACAAATGAATCATCTTTGGAATGAGTCATTTCAATGTTTTCAGGTTCTTTTCTTTCCCACAAATTGTGGAAGTCATGACTAATATCCCTCAGCTGACTTAGTCTTTAAGGGTCTTTAGGAAATTGTGTAGGAGCTGGTATATCTGTCCTTAACCTAATGGGTCCCTTATTTAACCAGTGGCTGTTGTCTTTATATCTGTTGGCCCATCAAAATAGTGTCCCTACTGATATGTAGTAACATATGCTTATCCTTAATCTTTTATTCTCCAGGTTATTTTTTTCAAATGCTCATTGAGAGGAAGACTTGTCCAGAAAGAACAAGTTGGGGACACATGTCTGTTATTAAGTATCTTAGTGGTTTCTCCTCATGTGGGACTTATAAACCCTGCATGTCTCACAGGGTTCATTTCGGGCTCAATGGAGAACATATAGAAGTTGGCTTGTAAGGTTTATTCCATTTCATAAACAGACACTATTATCACAAACTAAGAACTAATAAAAATCACAATCATAATTTAAAACCGGAGACACAACTAATTTTAGTAGATATATTGGAAATTACCAATGGGTAGTCAACTTGAGGTCATTGTATTTGATTGAAAATGTTTAATATATCTCAAGTTACTGGAAAAAAAAAGAGTTCTATTTCATTTTGTATGTTACTTGCATTTCTTTCACAGAGTCCAATTCTATTCCAGATAGTATATTACAACTTAGTCAACAACCTCCTTGTACAAATAGGGCTTTTATTTCCAGAGCCTTGTAAAAGATACTCTCTCTGAAATTATTTAAGAAATTATTTAAGTTTCCCTGCTTAATGTGTCAAAAGTAGACAGTGTTCTGACATAACACTGATGCGCTTCATGTATCCCAATGGTCTACCGTTAAGTGATAGTGTCCTCATTTTTAGGTGAAGCACGTTGGGTTGCTTTTGTATGTCATCTACACACATCTCTGTTTTGACTAGTGCTATGAATGTAACTTAAAACTTTTAAGTATAGTGTGTTTTTTTCTATATGCTCCTGAGTAGACTGTGGTGCCTGACAAACCCCGTTAGGTCATTATTTTGTTGTACCAAAGTTCTAGTGACTTCAGAAATCATTGCATCCAATGATTTTGTGGTGTCTGGGTTTGAATACTATGGCTGAGAACTGTATTCAGTGATTATTACCTGCACACTTTCCAAATAAATGAATTTTTATCAATTATTTTGTGTAGTGAAAGCAGCCTTTTTTTCTGTGCTGAAGGTCAACATGTCATGGATCGGGGAACATTAAATGGGTATTAACATGAAACTTGCATCACATTAAATGGCATCCACCTGAAATTGATACAATGTTATGTCAATTACGCATCCATTAAAAAGGAAAGGTGTCCCTTAGGATGCAGTCAGTGATTTTATCTCTCTCTCTAAACTTTCTCATTTATTATTTATTTAAAGACTGGGTTTTGCAAGGGAAATTTTCTAATAACTTTAAATGATGCATTTATAAAATTAGCACTTACCATGTTGAAGTATTCTATAGTACACAGCATTTCCACATGTTATAACCTACTTCTTCCCCATAGCAGAATGCTAAGGCAGGCGGTGGTATCTCCCTTAGTCACAGACTGGTGAAAGGACCATTGTTCAAGGAAAATTCTAGTCCACAACCATGCAGTTTCCTTAAATGTTCATTTACAAAGGCTGCCCCAAGCTCTCAACCGGGCATGTGCCCTGACTTGAACCTTGACCTCCTGGTTGATAGGTCAACACTCAACCACTGAGCCATAAGCTGGGCTGTTTGTTTGTTTTTTAAAGTGACATAGTTTGCTAAATACTTAAGAAGGACTTCTTTTTGTTGGTATTGTTAATCCTCACTCAAGGACATTTTTTCCCCAATTGATTTTTTAGAGAGAGTGGAAGGGAGGGAAGGATGGAGAGAGAAGGGGGCGGGGGAGAGAAACATCCATGTGAGAGAGACATGTTGATTGGTTGCCTCCCGCACGTGCCAGACATGTGTGCCCCCGACTGGTAGGAGGATCAAACTGCAACCAGTTATGTGCCCTGCCTGGGAATCCAACAGGCAACCTTTTGGTGCACAGGACAATGCTCAACCAACTGAGCCACTCTGACGGGGAAGGATATATTATTTTAAAATTGTTTACACCCTGGCTGGGATGCTAAGTGGATAGAGAATTGGATGGAGCACCAATGGGTAAGAGGAACCCACATGGTCTCTGAGTGAAGTCTCCTACTGCACAGTTATGTACCATTTCAAGGGTGACAGTACTTTGATGGATTTATAAATACATCACTTCACCTCATTTGTTCAGACCTTTAAATATTTCATAGATGACAGGGATAATTTCACATTCCACATTGAAAGGCTTTGAGCATCTTTCCTGAGTAAATGTTTCGAGTTACACACTAGTGAGGATGATCAAAAGGCTTCAAGCAGTTCACCCTTTAGGGTGACTAAGGTCTTCCATTATCCCTTTAGTCGAAGAGCATTCTGCTTTCCTGGCTGTCAGTACGTCCGAGTTTCTACAGGTTAAAATTTGGTTTTACTCAGAATGATCAAGGCTCCACCTGTAATGAATGCATGTACCGACATTTAAGCACACTTTCACAAGAGGACTGGACATATAATTCTAATTCGTGCATTCAGATTCCTCCTGGCTGCAGATCACAGCCATGTTCCTTTGAACTCATAATACAGGCATTTTTATGGAGGTCTGAGCCAACAGCAGTGTGTACCAGTCCCTACACGCCCCCAATATTTTACTTAGAAAATATAATAAATATTGAAAAGGAAATTAGTCAGGAAGGCAGTCACAAAGTGCATTCCTTTGTACTTAAGTGTGCGCTGCCTTCAGCAACCAATTTTCAATCCGAGCTGAAAAACCCTGGTTTCCTAAGGTGTGGTGAGGTAGCCATGTTTCTCAATTTGGGAGGGGTGTGTGTGTTGGAGAATCAGCTGAAAAGAATCTTCTCCTGCCCATAACTCAGTTGAGAATAATGAACTTATATCATAGTAAGATATATTTTATTATCCAAAAGTCAACTTTAAAATATAACATTTATTCATACACATATACACACTTCCTTCTACTTACATAAATAAAAACCATTATCAAAGGTTCAAGTTGACAACCTTAAACCATTCTCTTCAGTAAAAAATCTGCAAGAAAAGATAGGTTTTTAAAAACTTGAAAGCAGAATTTATCTTCCATCGTGGGAAAGCTCCTGGTTTCTTCACCCATTAAGTAAGCTTTGAAGAAAGAGTTCTTTCCCTCGAATATATGTTTGTTTGATTTTCTGGAATGTCATCCTCCTGCAAAACTATTGATGTATAATGGATTCCATTAAATACTGGCATTGGGCCATTTTAACATGCAAGTTTAGATTCTGTTTCAAAGAATACGTAAGACCCACGGAATGATCGTTCTCATTCAGATCTTCAGCCAGCCAGCTCATTTCCGTAGCCTAACCAACATCAAGTAGGGGGTAGAGTCTTCAGGCTTCAAGTCACTATAGAAAAGACCACACAGTCATCAAGATCAAGCACATTAAACTGCAAGGATGTAATTGCTGTACCACCGCCATTACCATCTCCACTGTCCTATACCACCGCATCACAACTAATTGCTTTAAGAGATGGCAGTTAATTGATGGATTGTAATTCCCCATGAGACACAGGAGAATCACATTGTGGAAGCATTAAACTTACTCAAATCCATGTAGTTGTACTAGAACAAAAGTGAGGAAGTGTGGGGGTCGGGGGGCGGGAGCGTTAGAGGCTGTGTCTGCCACTTCACGCAGTGAAGATACTCACCAGAGTGACCTGGAGATGGGAAACACATCAGTGCTCCCTCAGGATGTTTTAATTCTGTGCGTTTCTCAAAGCCTGACCTTCTCTCCTTAATGTGTGTGTGTGTGTGTGTGTGTGTGTGTGTGTATGTGTGTGTATGTTTTGTTTTTGTTGTCGTTGTCTAATGACCTCTAATCTCCACATCTACTGGTGTTCAACCCAAGAAACATCTATATGTTCTAATGCTCAAGGGAAAAGCAAAGCAAAGCAAAACAAAACAAAACACAAACTTGTTTAGGGTACTTACTGAGGGGTGGCATGGAAATATATTTTATGGGTGATTTAAGATATTTGCCTAGATTAATTTTTAAATGTACCTTTTTTTTAGTTAAGGGCTACTTTTATACTCCAATCTCTCTCTAGAGTTGTAAGCCCACTGTATGTTGGTGAATCCAGACTTACCAAACCATACTACTGCTCACATTCTCAAAGGAGCCCATTAACCATATTTCATTTTGCAAACATGAGACCTACTGTTGAGATAGGGTATGTGGTGAAATGGCTGTAACTGATAAGGGCTACAAGGATTATCACGGAGATAGTAAGACCAACCCCCAATGAATTTATGGCTGAGAACCCCCAGAAAACCAGCTCGATCCAATGTGGAGACTAATTTCACTTTGCAGTAATCCCTAGCTTCGTTATGTGCTCATTGTAACACATTAGCATTCCAAATCATACACCTGGCTGCCATGATTGGGAACAGAAAGCCAATATAAGAACACAATATGGACCATGGGGACCTTCCAAGAAGTCTCCATCCTGAATATTCCTCTCCCTTATTGAATGTTCTATCCTCAGATTAAATGATCCTCAATAAAGGAGGTAAATCCCACTAGGGCAGGGCTACTCTGCCTGTGGAGTAGCCTCCTCTCTCTCTCTCACTGCTTCACTACGAAACTTTCACTTTGAACTATATTCTGGCTCAAATTTGAATTTGTTCCTACATGAGGCCAAGAGCTCACAATGGGTCCCAGACCCTCGGGTCCCTGGACCCCTGGAATGCCTGCATCGCCATCATATATTCACACTGCAATTTCTATCAAAAAATCGTAAAACAAAGGGCATATTCAGTCCAGTTTCCCTATTTCAATTAGGGACTATTCCCATGTGCCTTTTCCCAAGTCATAGGAAGAAAATAAATCTTTAAAACTAAAAGGACTTTCACTCTAAATTAACTGCAGCTGCTGTAGGATTGCCCGTAGAAGCCATTGTCTCCAACACATCCCCTCTGTTCCTGCAGCCTTCCCCACTGGGATCTCGGCACTCATTACTGCAGTGGTTACAGTAAGGAGACAACCAGTTCCTGGCTGGCTCCATTCCTTCCAGGGTCAAAACAGTGGATGTTGGCCACAATGCCTCACCACCCCAAGGGGAATGGTATCTGGTGTGGATGGAAAGGGGCCACATACTAAACCTAACAACTTCAGGGGAGACCTATATGGCAGGCCTTGCAAACTCAGAGACCTAAAGTAGCCACATAGGGTTGTCTGAAATTAAAACTTCCTAATTAAAAGCAAGTCAGGGTGGTTAGTCATGTCTTAGGCCAGTATCTTCCTTGACAAAGGTCAGTCTTTACCTTAACTGGGTCTGTCTATTGTCCTTTTGCAGCTACAATAACAAACCCTTGGAATGTCAGAGTAATCCCCTTTTCCCAGCCCCCTCAGGGCACAATCTCCCACCAGAGTGAGAGACCATGCAGCCCCCTCATTGGTATCTTGTTCTCCCACATACCAGCTGTATGTGCTCTAAATGTTAATTAACTATCCTGTACCCACCAACTTAAAAGGATTTGTCTTTCTGTTTTATTCTTTATCTAATCTCCGAGATTTCCCCGCTTTGCTTTCTCCCACCTCTCTAATCTACCACCAATGGATTTCATGTAACCCCCCCTTAAATCTCCACCTTTGACTCTAATATATAAAATAAGCTGCAAAACTGCCATTCTCCAGAGCATTTGCCCAATCCATTGAGATTTTGCTTTTTGGCAATTGTCATCAGTTTGGCTCAAATAAACTCATAAAAATTCTCTACAGGTTCAGAGGTTTTCTTATGTAGATGACACTGTTAAGGGAGCAAAAATTTGATCATCCTCTCCTCCCTTGTAAAGTCACGTTTTGCCTTTCTATTCCAAACTCTTCCCCTTCCCCGCTCTGAAGTGACCTCAGTAAAACCTCGGTATAACGGACTAATTCAAGTGAGGGGGTGTCTGTTAAAGCAGAAAGTCCCTTATATAACAAAGTAGGTTTTCCAAATTCATGTATTAAAAAATTGACAAATTACTTAGTTTACCTGTTTTTACTTATGTAGACCTGCTTGTGTAATTAAAATTTAGTATGTATGAAAGGTTTAAT